GTGACCCTCTCCTAGCAGAGAGAGAGCCGGACAGACTCCATTTTTAGTTTCTTCACTTGCAGCCCCCTTTCACCTCCCTCCCTTAAGGCGTACCTAGTGTAAAACTGACTCAAAGCACGTTCAAGAATGCACCTACTGATAAGATATTGAGGCAAGCTGCACCAGCAGCTCCTGGGGACGCGCTCGGTGGATGGCACCCAAAACCCCTGCATTTATCTCTTTGTGATAGTTTAAGCCCCTGCACCTGGAACTGTTTATTTTTTTGTAACTGCATTTGTAACCAATTAGTTTTTTAACTTTTTGCCAGTTCTGCTTCTGTGAAAATTGCTTCAGCTAAAATCCCCCCTCCCCTATTTAGACCAAGGTGTGAAAACAGAACTAGCCCGGTCCTCAGGGCTGAGAGAATTTTGGGCGTTAGCTGCCTTTCGGTCGCTGGCTAATACAGGACTCTTTAATTTGTCTCAAAGTGTGGCATTTCTCTATAACTCGCTTGGTTACAGCAATCACTGTGTCTAAGATAATTTAGACTTCTTTAGTTACAGGATTAAAGTTTACAAAATTATTTAGAGATTGTATAACCAGCACATAAAGAACTAATTATTTGTTTTCCCTAAGTAAACTGCTTATCAAACTGTATTATCCAAGCAAACCCGGATGTATAGTCACTACATCAAAGGTAAATGACCTTTTGGAAAAGATAAATACAGCTTAAATCAGATAAATAGCATAAAGCATAAATCAGATAAATAAAGAGTTATTTTTCCTTGAAGTTACTTTCGGAAACTTATTTCAGAGCTAAGTAGTCCTTACAAAGAAAATTTTTGCCCAGTAGAATTTACTTGAAATCAATGGTTGGTATTTACCTGAGATTTCTCTGAGCTCTTTCAGCAGAAGAGCAAATTCAATTTAGGCCTTATTATTTCCTAATCATTGCTTAACTTGTTTTCTTTTACAAATTTTGCATACCAAACGGGAACAACCAGAACAGTGAGTCATGAAAATTGATATTGACATTAGCAGTAAAAGTGCTGAAAGATATTGCCAGAGGTATTGATTTTTCCAAAACCATATTATTCTGTTCCACAGAGACTGAGTTAAAACAAAATCAGCAGATTTTACATTGACAAACCATAGCTGTTAATGTAAGATTGAAGTAAACTTTCTATGCACATGAAAATATGTACTTGTATTATTAATTGAGATGTTTGAGACCAAAGGGGCATTATCTTTAATTAATTAATTAATTAATTATTTTTTTGAGATGGAGTCTTGCTCTGTCACCAGGCTGGAGTACAATGGCACGATCTTGGCTCACTGAAACCTCCATCTCCCAGGTTCAAGCGATTCTCCTGCCTCAGCCTCCCAAGTAGCTGGGACTACAGGCGCCTGCCACCACACCCAGCTAAACTTTTTTGTATTAGGAGACGGGGTTTCACCATGTTGGCCAGGATGGTCTCGATCTCCTTTTTTTTTTTTTTTTTTTTTTTGAGATGGAGTCTCACTCTGTGCCCAGGCTGGAGTGCAGTGGCGCAATCTCGGCTCACTGCAAGCTCTGCCTCCCGGGTTCACGCCATTCTCTTGCATCAGCCTCCCGAGTAGCTGGGACTACAGGCACCCGCCATCAAGCCTGGCTAATTCTTTTGTATTTTTTTTAGTAGAGACGAGGTTTCACCGTGTTAGCCAGGATGGTCTCGATCTCCTAACCTCATGATCCACCCTCCTTGGCCTCCCAAAGTACTGGGATTACAGGCGTGAGCCACTGTGCCCCAGCCATTAATTTATTTTTTGATAATATATTCATAAATGCTCAATAAATGTTTATTGAATGAAAAAAGAGGGAAGCTTGGATGAAACAATGACTTGTGGGATTTTTTCCCCCACAAATCTTTTTTTAATAATAAATTTTTACGATAGCACACATGCAGAATTCTCAAAAGATGGCAGAAGCAATAGCATACATTTTGAAACTCCTTAAATCACCCTTAAAAAACAGAGCAAATATAAATATCTCCTGTGAATATAGGTGCAAAAATCCTCAACCAAACACTAGCAGAAGGAATTCAGCAACATGGAAAAGGAATATACAGCTTGACCAAATGGGACTTATCCCAGGAATGCAATGTTTGTTTAACCTACAAAAACCAACTAATACAATACACAATATCTAATAAAGGATAATTTATTATATTGATACCTAGACATAGATAAGGCATTTGACAAAATTCAACACCCCTTCACAATGAAAACATTCAGAAGCTAGAAATAGGAGGGAACTTCCTCAATATCATACAAGGCTTCTATAAAAAACCACAGCTTAACATCATAGCTAATGATGAAAGAGGGTTTTCCTCCCTAAGATCAGAAGCCAGACTAGAATAACCACCTTGTCACTTCTATTCAACATTGTGTTGGAGGCTCTAGCCAGGACAACAAGGCAAGAAAAAAAAAATAAATAAAAGGCATCCAGATTTCAAAAGAAGAAATAAAACTATCTCTAACACAGAAGACAAAATTTCATGTATAGAAAACCATAAAGAATACACTAAAACACTGTTAGGACTAGTAGATGAATCCAGCAAGTTGTAGAATGCAAGATCAATATACAAAAATCGATTATATTTCTATACACTTGCAATGCACAATCTGAAAATAAAACTAAGGAATCAGTTTTATTTAAAATATCATAAAAACAATACTTAGGAAAAATTGGCAAAATGAATGCAAAATTTATTATCTGACAACTATTAAATATTTTTGAAGGGCATTAAAGAAGACCAATTGAATTAACTAATACATAAATAAAATTAAACCGAAAAATATCCCATGCTTATGGATTGGAAGATTGGATATTATTAAGATGACAATAATCCCCAAGTTGATCTACAGATTCAATACAGTCCTAATCAGAATTGTAGCTGGTTTATCTTTCTCTGCAGAAATTAACTGATCCTAAAATTCATACAGAAATTAAAGAGACCCTTTATAGCTAAAAATCTTGAAAGAGAAGAACAAAGTTAAAGGATTCACAGTTCTTAATTTCAGAGATTATTACAAAGCTACACTCAAGACAGTATGGTACTGGCAAAAGGATATACATATAGACCAATAGAATAGAATTGAAATCCCTCACATTTATGGCCAACTGATTTTTGACAAGACAATCCAATGAACAAAGAACAGCACTTTTAAACAGATTATGCTAGAAGCCGGGCACAGTGCTTCACACCTGTAATCTCAGGACTTTGGGAGGCCAAGGCAGGAGGATCACTTGAGCCTAGGAGTTTGAGACCAGCCTTGGCAACATGGTGAAACCCCGTTTCTACAAAATATAAAAATAAAAAAAGTAGCCAGGTGTGGTGGCGCACACCTCCCAGTTACTCAGGAGGCTGAGGCAAGAGAATTACTTGAGCCTAGGAGGTCAAGGCTCTTGTGAGCCATGATTGTGCCACTGCACTCCAACCTGGATGACACAGCAAGACTCTGTCTTAAATAAATAAAAATAAATTCCCTTTTGTTTATCCCTTATAGTCAGATCATTATATATCAATTTTAAAAGATGCTATGCAGTAAAGGGAGCAAAACAAAATCTTTGTTATTAAAAATGGCAATGGGTTAGATAGGCTTAAGAACTGCTGAGTCCCAGCTGACTCTAACTGAACCATATCTGTAACATTTCATCTAGTAATCTTATGAAACTACTCAGTAGTCACTAAATATACTATGAGCTTTCCTGCCCCTATGCCTAGTCTTAGGCTATTCTTCTACCCATACTAGTGTTACAGCTTCTCCCCAACCTTCATGACCTACTTTGGTGCCATGCAGCCTTTCCAGATCTCACTACCCCACGATGAATCCTGAAATCTTTGTGTCTATAGCTGTCATTTGGAAATAAATCATGCACTCTTTGAGACAGAAGTGTTGTACTGTGATTTAATGTTATTGTGTGACTATTTTTCTGTCTCCAAGTGCAATCTCACAGTTCTTAGTCTTTCCCAAAGGACTTTGGGGGCTCCTAGGTAGTTAATAGATAGTTGTTAATTGTCTGAAACAGCTATTTGCAGAATAGACTTATTTCAATATTAAAAACTAAAGAGCCTTATTTCTATTCTCTTTAGAGACCGAAGAATCTACTGGTTCATGTGTTTGGGCAGGGCAGATTCTCGAATAGTTTCATTCCTGCTGAGAACCAATGAGTTTGGCCGGGCACAGAGGCTCACGCCTATAATCCCAGCACTTTGGGAGGCCAAGGTGGGTGGACCATGAGGTCAGGAGATTGGGACCATCCTGGCTAATACAGTGAAACCCCGTCTATACTAAAAAAAAAAATACAAAAAAAAAATTAGCCGGGCATGGTGGTGGGTGCCTGTAGTCCCAGCTACTCAGGAGGCTGAGGCAGGAGAATGACGTGAACCTGGGAGGCAGAGCTTGCAGTGAGCCAAGACGTGCCCCACACTCCAGCCTGGGCGACAGAGCAAGACTCCGTCTCAAAAAAAAAAAAAAAAAAAAAAAAAGAGAGAACCAGTGAGTTCATCAGCAGAGAAGACAGGGAGTAGGAGCTGGAGCCAAAGCCTCTAAACATTGTGCTTACTCTGCCTGACAGCAAAATGGCCATTTGTGTAAAATATAATGTACAACTAGTCCAGTTCCCAAACCGATTGTCTGGGTTCACCCCTTATTAGCTTTGCCACTTGTTATGTGTGTGACCTCAACTAAATTACTTTACCTCTCTGTGCCTCAGTTTCAATATCAGTAAAATAGAGATAATGACAGAATTTAGCTCTCAGGGTAATTTTGAGGACTAAAAAGTTCATGAAAGATTTGAAGAGTGCATTGATATACTAAGTGAAATGCAATGCTTAGTTATCTTTTATCTGGTCATTTTATTAGAATCTCTCTACAAAATACAGAATCAAAACTTTCATTATGCAGTCTTATTTTTGTTCACTGTTACGTAACACATTTTACACATTTTCCGCATTCCACGCCCCGCCCCCCAACAACAACCACCACAAACTCCGACCGTCCTCTCCAGGCCTTTTCCCTCTATAAACCTGCCATTTGCTGTCTCCCAAGTCATCCCAGTTCAGAACTGCTCCAGGAAATAATGAATGAACAGAGAGAGCCTAGTTTGTTTATTTACAATCCACCAGTCTAATCTAGTTTAGATCCAGCGGCAGTCTCGGGGTGCCAAGGAGATGGCAGTGCGGGGACAGGGCAGAGCCTGGGCCAAAGGAAGCCAGACCCAGTTCTTGCCATGCCCTGCCCGACATAGGCAACGTGACACCAAGCGACAGCCAGCTGATCCTTGCTTCCCCGAGCCCGGCGGTCAGCGGCCGGAAGTAGCCCGCCCGGGGGCGGGGAAAGGTGCCTTAAGGAGGAGCTAGGGGCGTGTGGCCAATTGCAAGCGACTGTCCCAGCGAAGAGGGCGGAAGAGGAGAGATCCAGTTCCGGACGCGGCCGCCGCCGTCGCCGCCATCTGTCACCTCCGCTCCGGCATCAGCAGCCAGTTGTCCCTGCCCCGCCTGTCTCCTCGGCGGAGCCTGCTTCCCATCTTGCCACCTCTCTGCTCTGTTCTTGTCTCTGCCTTCATCCCAGAATGGATCTGGTAGGAGTGGCATCGCCTGAGCCCGGGCCGGCTGCGGCCTGGGGACCCAGCAAGGTAAGTGGCAGACGAGGCTGGAGTACTTGCCTTGGTCACAAGGGCTGGTTCTCTCGGAAGGCTCGGAAAGGGCGGCTTCGTGGGGGACTCGGCAAGTTCTGGGGCGGGACCCCGCCGACCTTGGCAAGGGGGCACTGGCCGCGGGGGTTCCGGGGTGGGGATGGAGGGAGCGGAAAGAGGGGCGGAGGGCGGCTGGATCTCCCAAATGCCACCTTGAGTGGTTAAGGCTCTCTGTTTCTTCAGCGTACTCTCTGTATCGCCGTAGCATGTATTTGAGCAGGACTGGCTTACACACGCTGATACTGGAGGGGAAACAAGCACAATCTTGTTTTTCACGGGCCAAGTGAGTCAGCCGAATACACAGCTAGCCAGACAGAAAGTTGGTTTAGGGAGCTGTTTACTTAATTTGTCAAGTGTGGTTATCCCAGTTCGGAAATTTCTTGTTTTTGAAGTAGTAAAAGATAAAACCCAGGCGCACCCTCCTCCGTCGACGCTAATATTCATGTGCACCCCACGGACTGTAAAGTGGTTATGAATTTCATGATCTGCCTAAGCTTTGACGTTTAAACTTTTTCATAGAATGGCAAACTAAAGACCTTTATTTAACATTTGCTTTCTGGTTTCCAGGCAGGTTCTTTTCATGATACTTTGATTATATGGATGAAAATACTTTTCTGCCACTTTATGGAGGGTTTGCTTGAGAGCCGAGTGCTTCCATTGGGATTTTTTGTTACACAAATTAAGGTCGTGAAGGAGTCTAGCTTTTTTAGCTTCATAATTGTTCTTTACATGCTAACACAGAATATTTGTTCCCATTTAAAAGGTCACCTGTGAAACTTATTAGATCTTCAGGCTAGGTCTTAACAGGAAAAGGGTCAATAATTAGCTATTAAGTAAAGGAAAGTTAATTTTATAAAAGTTCTCATACAACTGTTGGAAGAATCTGAGATACTGCATTGACAAATGTGGTTACCCTCCGCATGTTATTTTGCTTATTTTTCGTTAAAGCCTTGTTTACAAGGTCAAGATTAGTAGACATAAAAGGATGAAATCAGTAGACAGACTAGTATTATAAATATATACTTTGTATGTTAAAGTCCTTCAGTTAAGCATTGGTAAAGGCTGGTAAAAATGTCAAATGAGACAAACCGTATTCAGAATACATCCTAATCTCAGAACAAATTTCACTTACGAAACTAATTCAGTAATAAAATATTTAACAGTCATATTTTTATTTAAGTGTACATCATCAGAACTATACAATTCCATTTTCGTTGTGCAACAAAAATGCTTCTGGAATTTATAGATGCTGTCTATTGGGAGGACAGTGTTTTGAAAGGCAAAACAATTAGAAACAGGCTGAAAGTACTATCATTAATCCTTTTTCACTCTAACCTTTCAGAAAACCAAAGTGACAGAAGCCTACATGGAGGAGGTGAAGATTTTAGGAGGGTTTTGAAAAATGGAAGGATTCTCAAAACTTTTTAGTCAGTACTTTTTTCTTTCTTTCCTTCCTCCTTCTTTCCTTTCCTTCCTTTCTTCTCCTCTCCCCTCCTCTTCCCCCCTCCCCACTCCTCTCCCTTCTCTCTTCCCCTCGCCTCTTTCATTTGAGACGGAGAGGTGCTCTATCACCCAGGCTGGAGTACTGTGGTTTGCTCCCAGCTCACTGCAACCTCTGCCTCCCGGGTTCAAGCAATTCTTGTGACTCATCCTCCTGAGTAGCTGGAATTACAGGTGCCGGCCACCATACCCAGCTAATTTTTGTATTTTTAGTAGAGACAGGATTTCACCGTATTGGCAAGGCTGGTCTCGAACTCCTGACCTCAAGTGATCCACACGCCTCGGCCTCCCAAACTGCTGGGATTACAGGCGTGAGCCACCGTGCCCGGCCTCTTCCTTTTTCTTTTCTTTTCTTTTTTTTTTTTTTTTTTTTTTTTTTGAGACAGAGTCTTACTCTGTCACCCAGGCTGGAGTGCAGTGTCGTGATCTTGGCTCACTGCAAGCTCCGCCTCCCAAGTTCAAGCTATTCTCCTGCCTCAGCCACCCGAATAGCTGAGATTACAGGCGCCTGCTACCACACCTAGCTAATTTTTTGTATTTTTACTAGAGACGGGTTTCACTGTGTTAGCCAGGATGGTCTCGATCTCCTGACCTTGTGATACGCCTGCCTCGGCCTCTTTCTTTTTTAATTGAGACAGGGTCTCACTCTGTCACCCAGGCTGGAGTGCAGTGGCCTAATCACAGTTCACACTGCGCCTTGACCTGGCAGGCTCAAACAATCCTCCCACCTCGGCTTCCTGATTAGCTGGGACTACAGGCCAGTGCCACCACACCTAGCTAATTTTCGTTTTTTGGTTTTTTTTGAGACAGAGTCTCGCTCTGTCACCAGGCTGGAGAGCAGTGGTGTGATCTTGGCTCACTGGAACCTCCACCTCCTGGGTTCAAGCGATTCTCCTGCCTCAGCTTCCCGAGTAGCTGGGACTACAGGTGCATGCCACCATGCCCAATTAATTTTTGCATTTTTAGTAGAGATGGGGTTTCACATGTTGGCCAGGATGGTCTCGATCTCTTGACCTTGTGATCTTCCCGCCTTGGCCTCCCAAAGTGCTGGGATTACAGGTGTGAGCCACTGCGCACGGCCAATTTTTGTGTTTTTTTGTAGAGCTCGGATTTCACCATGTTGCCTAGGCTGGTCTTGAACTCCTGGGCTCAAGCAGTACCCCACCCCCTTCCGCCTGGCCTCTCAAAATGTTAGGATTACAGGTGTGAGCCACCATGCCTGGCCCGGGCTTCTTTATACCCTTAAAAATTGAGGACCCCAAATGTCTTTTGTTTACATTGATAATATCAATTGATATTTATCATATCTGAAATTAAAACTGAGAAATAGAAAAATTTTAAGTCATTTAAAAGTCATGCTAGTCTGATGGTAGTGGGTTATCAGAACTTATTAACATTAGTGTCACTAAAGTTGATATAGAACCTTCCCACTGCTAAATTTAGCTGGCTTAAAAAAAAGGTCATATGTTAACATAAATAACATTTTTATATTTAAAGAAAACTTAGAAAAATAGATTAGAACATGTGAGAAAAGTAGAAAAAGAAAACAAATAAAAAAATAGAGTTGAGATCTTACTGTGTTGCTCAGGCTGGTCTGGAATTTGTGGCCTCAAGCAATCTTCCCACCTTGGCCTCCCAAAGTGCTAGAATTACAGGTGTGAACCACCACACCTGGCCAAAAGAAAACTATATCTGAAAACAAAAATTAGTGAACAGTATTTTATATGTTTGCAAATCTCTAACATCTGGATTCTTCTGTCTTCTTTTTTCATTCAGCCTGTTGTGAGGTTGAAGTATTTGAAGAAAATCCATCCTCACAGCTAAGTAGATTGTAGCAGGTATCAGTGAAGATGGGTAACAAGAGCATAGTAGAAATACTGAGAACAAACTGGGTTAATCTCTAAAAATGCAATTATATCTTAAATCTACTCTTTAGAAAATTTTAGAAAACACCAGAATACCAAGCACACATTCCATTAGCCATCAGTGATGATGTCATCACATCTGATGTAGACTCTGGAAAACTCCACACTCTTGGGGGAATGAGAGTTAAAAAGACAAATAATGTATTATTACTATTATGAAAATTTTGACATCATAGACCCTCTGAATGGCTCTTGGGGATCCTTCTCTCAGAGTACCAGGGTGCAAGTTACAAAATGCCCAACTACTATTGTGGACAAAGAATTTTAGGGGATATTCCAAGAAGGGAGGATTGGCAAACTGTAAGCAAAAGTGAGCAAGTGTGTAGCTCTGTTGATAGAGAGTTGTAAAAAATAAATAAATAAATAAAAATTAGCAGTACACCTCAAAACTGTCAAAGTTATCAAAAACAAGGAAAGTCTGAGAAACTCAACAGCCTAAGAGGCGCTTAAGGAGACGTGGCAACTAAATGTAATGTGGTATTCTGAATGGGATCCTGGAACAGAAAAAGGATGTTAGAGAAAAACTAAGGAAATCTGAGTAGAGTATGGACTTTAGTTAATAATAAAAAGTATCAATATTGGTTCACGAATTGTGACAAATGTAGAATACTAATAAGGTGTTAATAGGATAAACTACTGAGTATAGGATTTGGGAACTCTGTACTGTCTTGGCAGTTTTTTTCTGTTAAAGTAAGACTATTCTAAAAAAATTTTTAAAAATGGATTAGTGTTGTTACGTAGTCCCAGATTATTTTTTTCAGACACTTGTCTTGAGTTGAAAAATTACTTACTTAGCCGGGCGCGGTGGCTCAAGCCTGTAATCCCAGCACTTTGGGAGGCCGAGACGGGCGGATCACGAGGTCAGGAGATCGAGACCATCCTGGCTAACACAGTGAAACCCCGTCTCTACTAAAAAATACAAAACACCAGCCGGGCGAGGTGGCGGTGCCTGTAGTCCCAGCTACTCGGGAGGCTGAGACAGGAGAATGGCGTAAACCCGGGAGGCGGAGCTTGCAGTGAGCTGAGATCCGGCCACTGCACTCCAGCCTGGGCGGCAGAGCAAGACTCCGTCTCAAAAAAAAAAAAAAAGAAAAATTACTTACTTAAATATTCTACTTAGATTATGTCTTCTAGCTGTATGATTAGAAAGGGGACCTTCCTGTAGGTTACATTTCTCTTGACTTGCTTCCAGTAGAGGACTGAATTTTTGTTACTGTGTGCCTCTTTCATGTTTGCTGGGTTTCTTTTATTTATTTATTTATTTTGGAGACAGAGTCTCACTCTGCCGCCCAGGCTGGAGTGCAGTGGCGCAATCTTGGCTCACTGCAACCTCCGCCCCTGGGCTCAGGCAATTCTCGTGCCTCAGTCTCCAGAGTAGCTGAGACTGCAAGTGTGCATCACCATGTCTGGCTAATTTTTTTTTTGTATTTTAGTAGAAACGGAGTTTCACTATGTTGCCCAGGCTAGTCTCGAACTCCTGAGCTCAAGCAATCCGCCCGCCTCAGCCTCCCAAAGTGTTAGTATTATAGGCGCGAAACACTGCGCCCAGCTGCCGTTTTTAATTTTACTTGATTCTTTACCCATAATTGTCTGCAGGAAACCTTAAAAAAAAACAATGATACAAGCAGCGAAAGTCATATCTTTAGGAAGTGGAAGGAAAGAGAAATGATTCCCCACTAATGTGCAGCTTGCCAGGTGGGGGAGCATGCGGTAGTAGTGAAGAACCCCAAGGAACAGAGTTCAGTGGTGGCGGTTTTGCAAAGGAGAGGAAAACAGGGTGGGTCTTAGGGTTATTTAGCAATAGGAAAGAAGGAACCAAGAGGCTGGTGAAAGCTTGATGGATGTCCTTTGAAGAAGAATTGCTGACTGGAAAGGATTGTATGAGGCATCCCATCAGATTGTGACACTATAGGGAGTTTGTGTTGATGAGTGGAATAGTAGGAAATGACTTTGGATAGCTAGGACGGAGCAAGATGATGGAGGACGTTTCCCCCATCTCGTTAGCTTTTTTACAAAGAGCGGCTTACTGAAGAGTCACAGATGACAGAGGATTCCCTTACATACCACCTATGGTACCTGTTCATAGGAGGAGCCTGCAGCAAATTTTCTGAGCACTTGGGATAGCAAACTTCTTGTGCCTATAGGGAAAACCCAGGGGGTCTTCTCCCGCCCCCAGAAGCTGTCCCTCTCACAGCCTGGAAAAAGTGTATGGAGGGCTTTTAATTGTTGGCTTGAGGAGTTTGGGTTTGATTTCAAAGTATGGGAGTGGCAGCCTATCTGAAATCTTTACTTATTTACCTCACCCAAGGGAGTTGCCTCAGTGTGAGGTGGACCGCTTGAGCTGGTACAGGGTAGTATAGTCTCTAGAGTCTAGGGTCAGTAGGAGTGGACAGCGAGGATGCTTTGGTGCTGTTTGAGGTCTCTACACGTTTCCCTTTCTGATTCAGGGTATCTGTGAGTAGGTCAATCTCTGCCTCAAAATAACAAAAGTCCTGCCTGTCATTTTTGCCTCTTCTGACAGATCGTCAGCTAATACTTTAATACCTTAGCAGACAGATGGCAACAGACTTGAAGCCTCTGAAGTGGGCAGGCAAAAGGGCAGACTTTCCAAGATGGGGGAAAGGACATTAGATTAGTAGGGATGTAGAAAGACATCAGACCTCTGCAGCCAATCACTCCAGTGTTTTCTTTTGGCACATACTGCTCAGGAAATACTGGAATGCCTCTTTATATCCAAAGCTCTATGCTGGGCTCTGAGGGTGGATAAGAAGTCTCTACCGTTCAAGGCGCTCATGCTCCATTGTGGCTAATGCATGAACTCTAATACAGTGATGAGTTCGGCATTAACAGTGTTTGCATACTGCTGTGGGAACACAAAGGAAAGGGTCCAACTTTGGTAACACTGAGACGGCCTTATAGAGGAGGCGACATTTAATTGGTGTAAATAAAGAAGGAAGAAGAACCAATGGTAGAGAAAGGAATGTGTGAAGGCATGCAGTGGGGAAAGTATGCCATCTTTTTTGTTTGTTTTTGAGACACGCTCGCTCTGTCACCCAGGCTGGAGTGAAGTGGCGGGATCTCAGCTTGCTGCAACCTCTGCCTCCTGGGTTCAAGTGATTTTCCTGCCTCAGCCTCCTGAGTAACTGGAACTATGGGCACCCGCCACCATGCCTGTAGTGTAAATTAGGTTAAAAAATACTAATTTTTATATTTTTAGTAGAGATGGGGTTTCTCCATGTTGACCAGACTTGTCTCGAACTCCTCACCTCAGGTGATTCGCCTGCCATGGCCTCTCAAAGTGCTGGGATTACAGGCGTGAGCCACTGCACATGGCCTAAGTATGCCATCTTTGGCATATAATTAGTGTCACTAGAGTGTAGGATAGAAGAGGGTTGAGATTGGACAGATAAATCAGGGCAAGTTGGGCATCCCTTGCTGAGGAATTTGGATTTTATTTATTTAGAGACAGGGTCTTACTCTGTCACCCAGGCTGGAGTGCAGTGGCACAATCATAGGACTCAAATGATCCTCCTCCTACTTCAGCCTCCTGAGTAGCTGTGGGACTGCAGGCATTTGCCACTGTGCCCGGCAGGTTTAAAATTTTTTTGTAGAGATGATATCTTGCCGTGTTGCCTAGGGTGGGGAATTTGGATTTTGTATTGCAGACAGTAGGGCAGTTTGCTTCACACATTCCAGGGTGAGGGGATAGGGAAGCTGTATAGCAAAATGCTAAGAGTGCAGCCTGGCATCGCCTTGGTTCAGAGCTTGGTACTTCCATCTATGATGTTATCTTGGGTTAAAAGAAAAGCCTTTATGTATCTCAGTTTTAAAATCCATAAAATGGGGATGAATTGCAACTACTCAATTGTTGTGTGATTTAAGTAATCTATGTAAGTTATGTGTATTTAACCAAATTATTTAAATATAGTGAATATTCAGATATTGTTTGTTATGCAACTGGTAGTCATAGCCAAATGTGATTGAAAATTCTGAGTTAGACAGTCACCTGCCTTTTGGAGCCTGGACTTTGAAACTGATCAGATGAAACATTTCTAGGCTAAACAGCATTGTATCTTCTACCTAGAGGATACAGAAGGAACTCAGCAGAGTCATGAGGCCAAAAAATTAGCTATGTTCTCCAGATGATAGAAAACTTCAAGATTCTAGACCTTAAAATCCTTACCAAGAGGGTTCTCCACTCAATTACAGGGTGAATGAAAGTCACAGCAGACCTTCAGGAAGCCTCTTCTCTCCCAAGTCTGGCCTTACAGAAGGCCGGAACGGTTCTGTGACAGTGTATGGCAGGTACGTGCTAGGTGCCACTTGTATTTCCTCAATCTCAGGGTGAGACTAGATACAACTTGATTCTCATTCACTCAGGCATAAATATAGTTATCGTTTGTCACCCTTAGGTGCTCCACCCAAATAGCCTGAGCTAAGTAAATTCCTGAATGTCAGTACGGTGGAACCTGAACAAAGGTCACTTGCCCAGTTGTCTCTGAGTGTCATGCAGCAGGCCTTTAGACCAACTAGAGGGCCTACACTGGCTGAACCTGATCATATAATTTTGTGGCTAAAACAGATATCATTTTATGCTATCTTCTAAATTAGACACTCAGTAGTAGTTAAGGAATAAGTTTGGACTTTATCCTAAAAGCAATGGGAAATAATAAAAGAGATTTTGAGTAAGGAGATGGAACCCATCACATCTGCATTTTAGAACAATTACTGTATTACAGTGTGGAGAATGGAAACTACCAAGACTGAGAGCAGAAAGATTCGTTAGGATGCACTGAAAGTAACCCAGCGAATGGGATACCTTGGAGTAGAGTTATAGAAGAGGGATGGAAAGAGCTGGGCAAGTTCAGGAGATGCTTAGGCGTCTTACTCAATATTAAAGGTCTTAATCAGTAGGCTATAAAATGTAATCATTTGCTGCTGCTAAGTAAAGCATCTTGCCCCTTCAAAAATTATGAATTTGAAATAAAACCTGCAGTTTGATTTCAAGAAGGCTGAGGCAGGAGTATGTCACTGAGGAATGTCAACTGGGTCTGACAGAATATTACTGTGTGTATTGGTATTATTTTAAGAGCCTGTTTGTTAGCTTCTAAAGTTCAGAAATAAAATTTTGGGGCTAGGCTTGGTGACTCACACCTATAATCCCAGCACTTTGGGAGGCTGAGGCGGGCAGATCACCTGAGGTTAGGAGTTCGAGACCAGCCTGGACAACGTGGCAAAACCCTATCTCTACTAAAAATACAAAAGTTAGCTGGGCATGGTGGCTCACGCCTGTAAACCCAGCTACTCAGAAGGCTGAGGCAGGAGAATCGCTTGAACCCAGGGAGGTGGAGGTTGCAGTGAGCCGAGATCATGCCACTGCACTCCAGCCTGGGCGACAGAGGAAACTGTCTCCAAAAAAAAAAAAAAAAAAAAGAAATAAAATAAAAAATAAAATTTTTGTTGTTTGTTCTTGCTTTTTGTGTGTGTGTGTGTGTGGCATGGGGTCTCATTCTGTTGCCTAGGCTGGAGTGCAGTGGTGTCATCTCTACTCACTACAACCTCAACCTCCCGGGTTCAAGCAATTCTCCTGCCTCAGCCTCCTGAATAGCTGGGACTACAGGCATGCACCACCACACCCCACTAATTGTCTTTTTGGTAGAGATGGGGTTTCACCATGTTGGCCAGGCTGGTCTCGAACTCCTGACCTCAGGTTATCCACCCACCTTGGCCTGCCAAAGTGCTAGGATTACAGGCGTGAACCACCGCACTTGGCCTGTTCTTGTTTCTGTTTTAGTATGTCCTAAGATGTTTTGAGAGGGGCTGACATAATTTGTACACTTAGATGACTCGATGCTTAAATTAGAATGAGATATAACTTTCCATTAGGCTTCAAATTGTGCTAGTTGGTATAGTCTGCTCCTATAGGAAAATCTACTTGAGAAATCAGATTATAAGCAGAAAGTAGCTTGGTGAGCAAGGATCGGAACAAGAGGAATCACATGAACTCATGCGCTAGTCGGGGGATGCCAGTGGGCCTGAGGCTTCCCCTCAGCTTTAAGGATATACCTACTTAGCAGGCTAAAAAGTGCTTTTGGCTGTTTTAGTTTAGATACATCCTTGACTAAATTTGACCTGGGAGATATTTTTACTTTTGAGATGATATCTGCAAATAGCTAGTTATTCATTTCTGGTTTTTAACTACATAGTTTAATTCTCAAAGTATAAGATTATTTGTAAAATGGGAGGTGCTTTATTTCATTATGATGAGTTGAGCTGTTCTTTTTTCTTTTTTGGTAGTGTCCATGGGCTATCCCTCAGAATACAATATCTTGTTCGTTGGCTGATGTAATGAGTGAACAGCTGGCCAAAGAATTGCAGTTAGAAGAAGAAGCTGCCGTTTTTCCTGAAGTTGCGTAAGTAAAATTCACAAAGTACTTTATCTAGCAACTTATAGCAGAGTTTTAGGATTTGATGAGTAATTGTCATGACAAGTGGTTTGGAAAAAGCAGGGCAGAAGAAAGCACCATGTTGAGAGTCCACTGATATTTGAATGTTGGTCCTGATTTTGCATTGGTTTTCATTATTATCTTGGACAAACCACTGTTTCTGTGAGTTTTAGTTACATCATGTTAATGTTGCAGTTGAACTAGATGAGGTACAGTTTTGATCAAGTGTTTTGAGTTTATCTTTTCATGAATATTTACCTGTTCTTTCATTATGGATGAATGAAACATCCAGACTTTCTTTTTTTTTTTTTTTTTTTTGGAAATGGAGTTTCGCTCTTGTTGCCCAGGCTGGAGTGCAATGGCACAATCTCGGCTCACCACAACCTCTGTCTCCTGGGTTCAAGCGATTCTCCTGCCTCTTGAGTAACTGGGATTACAGGCATGTGCCACCACACCTGGCTAATTTTGTATTTTTAGTAGAGATGGAGTTTCTCCATGTTGGTCAGGCTGGTCTCGAACTCCCAACCTCAGTTGATCCACCAGCCTCAGCCTCCCAAACTACTGGGGTTACAGGCATGAGCCACTGCGCCCAGCCTCAGACTTTCATTCAGAACAAATGAATTCTAGGTCTCAGTTTGGATTTTATTATAGAATCTTTAGCTTTCTCTCCTAGCTCTCTTAACCCTAGTTGGTACTCCCACAGGTGCATGCCATTGGTCTTAAGGCTAGCTGTGCAGGAGAAGGTGAATGGTTTGATAGAGTTCTTTGAATTTTAACATGGAAAAGGCACCTCCTACTCTGATAATTGGCAATTGAATTTTAACATGGAAAAGGCACCTCCTACTCTGTTTACTTAAGCACATTATATTAGTTTATATTGCCTTATTTTGAATAGCGTTGCTGAAGGACCGTTTATTACTGGAGAAAACATTGATACGTCCAGTGACCTTATGCTGGCTCAGATGCTACAGATGGAATATGACAGAGAATATGATGCACAGCTTAGGCGTGAAGAAAAAAAATTCAATGGAGATAGCAAAGGTACTATAACCTTATTGTGACAACTCCATTGAGTGGTAGAAAACACTCATAATGTGCTCCTAAGTAAATCTTCAACTATTTTTGCTTTTTAAGTTTCCATTTCCTTTGAAAATTATCGAAAAGTGCATCCTTATGAAGACAGCGATAGCTCTGAAGATGAAGTTGACTGGCAGGATACTCGTGATGATCCCTACAGACCAGGTACCAAAACTTTTACTTTCTGGGGGCAGCAGAATAGAGGTATAGGAAGACTAATCTTTTCAATTAACTCTTACTTTTATATTTTACTTTGAATCTCATTTGGTAATTTACTCTTAGATTCAAATGTCTTTTCAGACAACGTTGAATGCAGCAATGTAGTCTTTGCTATTTTTATATACCTGGCTTGTTTCAATTGCTTTAGCAAAACCGGTTCCCACTCCTAAAAAGGGCTTTATTGGAAAAGGAAAAGATATCACCACCAAACATGATGAAGTAGTATGTGGGAGAAAGAACACAGCAAGAATGGAAAATGTAAGTTACAGAAAGTATCTATCTCTGAATTTAGAGTTTTGCTTGAATACCTTTTAAAATGTAATATCTTAGATTTCTAAAAATATCTTTCTTTCTAAAGATGTTTTTAGATAACACTATAGCAATATCATGAAAAGTGACACATTAATGAAAATATAAAGTACCTCAGAATAAAATTCCATAACAGTGTTGAAAAACTATTTTGACTCACATTGATTCTAAAATTAATAAATAGTTATTATGAAAATAACATTTATTCTTCATCATATTTGTATAAAATAGCATCCCTACCCAAACAACAGATAATGGTGGTGATTGGGGAATACGAATGGGAGGGAGAAATACTTTTCACCATATACTCTTTTGTGCATTTTGAATTTGTCTTGTGCCTGAACTACCTGTGTAAAATCAGAAGTAAAGTGTAATTTTAAAACATAGCATTCTAGGCCGGGCATGGAGGCTCACTCCTGTAAGCCCAGCACTTTGGGATGCCGAGGTGGGCAGATCACCTAAGGTTGGGAGTTCGAGACCAGCCTGACCAACATGGAAAAACTCCATCTCTACTAAAAATACAAAATTAGCCGGGTGTGGTGGCACATACCTGTAATCCTAGTTACTCGGGAGGCTGAGGCAGGAGAATCGCTTGAACCCGGGAGGCGGAGGTTGCAGTGAGCCGAGATCGTGCCACTTCACTCCAGCCTGGGCAATAAGAGTGAAACTCCGTCTCAAAAAAAGAAAAAAAAAAGGCATTCTAAATCCTTCATAAATATTATAGTTAATATAATACATTAAACATTTAGATTTTAAAGCACAAATGCCTGTTAAGTAAACATATTCAATTATATCATTTCTAGAAATATTCCAGATCTGATTCTAGAAGAGTTCTGTCCAATAGAACTTTCTGTGGTAATGGAAATGTTCTATATGTGTGCTGTTCAATATGGTAGCCACATTTGCTGTTGAGCACTTGAAATTTGGGTGCCATAATAGAGGAACTGAATTTTTAATTTAATTTTAATTAACTTAAATAGCCAAGTGTGGCTAGTGGTTACCTAACTGAATTGCACAGTTCTAGAGCATAATTGTCATGGTGTGATCATAGTCTGCTGTAACAACCCACTCTCCACAAGTAATTACAAAATTGTATTTCTTTGGTAAGATTTGGTGTAGCCTTCACAGTTCAATATTGTGTCCTTTGGCTAAAGGATGTGATGAGATGTTTTCTATGCCTGGAATAAATGCCTTCCTTTGGGCTGTAATTTCTTAAATAGTATTGCTCTTCTTTCTGTGAGTCACTTAATTTTTTTCTCTGTAGTAGCTATGAGTTCTGGTTTTCTAGTGTGATCATCTATTGAGTAAGACATTAAAGATTAATCTTCTCGTTTGGTTGTTGTTGTTGTTGTTTTTTTTTTTAACTGTCCCTATTTTAAAATATTTAGATGCTAATTCTTCTTTTTGGCAGTTTGCACCTGAGTTTCAGGTAGGAGATGGAATTGGAATGGATTTAAAACTATCAAACCATGTTTTCAATGCTTTAAAACAACATGCCTACTCAGAAGAACGTCGAAGTGCCCGCCTGCATGAGAAGAAGGAACATTCTACAGCAGTAAGGATTTATAGAGTTTTTTTTCTTTTTTACTGGAAAGATTCATATTAGAAAACTTTGGGTGAATAAAAAAACCTTCATGTTTGATATTTTTTCATGAGATTGGCTTTTCAGATCAAAGATGTAAATAGATCTAGCCACTGTGGTGCCCGCCTGTAATCCCAGTACTTTGGGACAGGAGGATTACTTGAGCCTAGGAGTGCAAGAACAGCCCGGGCAACATAATGACCCCCAGCTCTGCAAAAATAATTAGCTGGACATCGTGGCACATGCCTGTGGTCCCATCTACCCCGGGGGGCTGAGGTGGGAGGATTGGTTGAGCCCAAGAAGTTAAGGCTGCAGTGAACCATGATTGTGCCACTGTACTGCAGCCTGGGTGACAGATTGAGACCCTGCTTTAAAAAAGAAAAAAAAGAGAGAGAGAGAGAGAGATGTAAATAAGCCAGGTGGGGTGGCTCCCAGCACCTTGGGAGGTCAAGGTGGAAGGATTGCTTGAGCCCAGGAGTTCGAGACCAGCCTGGGCAACATAGGGAGACCCTGGGAGACCATGTCTCAGCAAAAAGTTTTTAAAAATTAGCCGGACATGTTGGTGTGCACCTTTAGTGGCAGTTGCTCAGGAGGCTGAGGTGGGAGGATCACTTGAGCCCAAGAATTCGAGGCTGTAGTGAGCCATAATCATGTCACTGCATTCCATCCTGGACAACAGAGTGAGACCCTGTCTCTCTCTCTCTCTCTCTCTCTAAAAAAAAAGATATTAGGCCAGGTGTGGTGGCTCAAGCCTATAATCCCAGCACTTTGGGAGGCCAAGGCGGGTGGATCATGAGGTCAGGAGTTTGAGACCAGCCTGGCCAACATGGTGAAACCCCATCTCTAGTAAAAATGCAAAAATTAGCCATGTGTGGTGGTGGGCGCCTGTAATCCTAGCTACTCGGGAGGCTGAGGCAGGAGAATCACTTGAAAGCGGGCGGCGGAGGTTGCAGTGATCAGAGATGGTGCCATTGCACTCTAGCCTGGGTGACAAAAGCAAGACTCCGTCTCAAAGGAAAAGAAAAAGTTATTAGAAGTGGCTCAGAAAATATTTTGTGATTAGCAGTCATTTTCACTTACAGTGCTTTATCTCTTGCAGGAAAAAGCAGTTGATCCTAAGACACGTTTACTTATGTATAAAATGGTCAACTCTGGAATGTTGGAGACAATCACTGGCTGTATTAGTACAGGAAAGGAATCTGTTGTCTTTCATGCATATGGAGGGAGGTAAATGAGCAAAATATGATACCATCATGTGAAAACTTAGTCTCTTCTCCCCAAGATTAATGGATTTACACAGAATCAAAGATAATGCTGCATGGCAAGCAGCGTAATTTTTAAAGTGTTACTGTAGAAAGTCCAGGCAGTATAGGAATGTATAATACCACCACCCAGAGATCATCATTATAATTTTAGGTAGACTCCTCCAGTTTTTTTCAGTGCGTATATTATTTTCTTTTTTTGAGATGGAGTTTCAGTATTGTTGCCCAGGCTGGAGTGCAGTGGCGTGATCTCGGCTCACTGCAATCTCTGCCTCCTGGGTTCAAGTGATTCTCCTGTCCCAGACTCCAGAGTAGCTGGGATTACGGGCGCATGCCGCCACGCCCGGCTAATTTTTGTATTTTCAGTAGAGACAGAGTTTCGCCATGTTGGCCAGGCTGGCCTCGAACTCCTGACCTCAGGTGATCCACCCATCTCGGCCTCCCAAAATGCTGGGATTATAGGCGTGAGCCACTGCTTCCGGCCTTCCTCATCTTTATCAATGTTTAGTACTGTCAAATCTAATGCTTTTTGTCAGTGTGAAAGATGAAAAGTAGTATCTTGGTATTTTGGTATGCATTTATTTAATTATGATTAAGTTGTACATTTTTTTCGAGTGCTTTATTGGCCATTTGTATTTCTTTTTCTTGTCTTCTCTCTTGTTTATCCTTTGTCCATTTTCTGTTATACTTAATATACTCTTTTTTTTTTTTGAGATGGAGTTTTGCTCTTGTTGCCCAGGGTGGAGTAGAATGGCACAATCTCGGCTCACTGCAACCTCCGCCTCCTGGGTTCAAGCGATTCTCCTGTCTCAGCCTCCCAAGTAGCTGGGATTACAGGCACGCACCACCACGCCTGGCTAATTTGTGTGTTTTTAGTAGAGACGGGGTTTCACCATGTTGGCTAGGCTGGTCTCAAACTCCTGACATCAGGTGATCCACCCGTCTTGGCCTCCCAAAGTGCCAAGATTACAGGCATGAGCCCCTGTGCCTGGCCTGTCATACTTAATATACTCTAATAAAATAAGTGATAAGTCTTTCTGGTGGAATTGGTGTCATAGTCTGTACTTTAACATTTCTAAGTTAGCAAAACTAGAGAACATTCAGTTTTATACAGCTAAAAGTAAATGCTTTTAAAAGTTTGTTAGTTTTCTGTGGTACATAACAAATTGCCACAGACTTAGCAGCCTAAAACAGCATCCATTTATTGTCTCGTAGTTTGTGTTGACAGAATCCAGGCACGGCTTAACTAGGTTCTGTGTTCAGGGTTTCACAAGCCTGCAGTCTAGGTGTTGGCCAGGCTGTGTTCCTTTCTGGAGCTTGGTGTCCTCTTCCCTTGGCCACCTTTCAGTTCCTTGCAGCCGTAGGACTGAGGTCCCACTTTCTTGTTGGTTGTCAGCAGTGGGCTGCTCTCAACTCCTTGAGGCCCCTGCAGCCATGGGGCCATCTCACAGGCCCCTTCACACACTAGCTCACACCTTCAAAGCCAGCAGGAAAATCTCTCCAGTCTGCTAAGACTGAGACTTAGTGGGATGTTATCATGGGAATGACTAGACCATCACCTTTGCCACATGACCTAACCAGGGAGTGGTTATCCCACACATGCTGAAGGGAAGTAGATATTATATGGGGTGTGCACACCAAGGGGGCTGCGAGTTTTTGGAGTCATCTTAGAATTCTGCTTTTCACAAAGCTCTGGTTGATTGGTTTATTTCCTTCCTTCCTTCCTTCCTTCCTTCCTTCCTTCCTTCCTTCCTTCCGTCCGTCCGTCCATCCGTCCGTCCATCCGTCCTTCTTTTTTTTTTTTTGAGATGGAGTCTTGCTCTGTCACCCAGGCTGGAGTGCAGTGGCACAATCTTGGCTCACAGCAACCTCTACCTCCCGGGTTCAAGTGATTCTCCTGCTTCAGCCTCCCCAGTAGCTGGGATTACAGGTGCACACCACCATGCCAGGCTAATTTTTGTATTTTTAAGTAGAGATGGGGTTTCACTGTGTTGGCCAGGCTGGTGTCAAATACCTGACCTTGTGATCCACCCACCTCAGCCTCCCAAAGTGTTAGGATTACAGGCATGAGCCACTGTGCCTGGGTCAAAGCTCTGGTTTCTGTCACTCTCAGGTTGGTCAGGCAATCAACAATTATTCAAGCAGTAATTTGTCCTAGATTACTCAGGGAATAAAATATAAGACATATTTTTTACTCTCAAAGAGCTTAAGCTTTAGCTAAAAAGAGAACATTACAGTAAGAACCATTATGGTCAATGAAAGATAATTACATAATAGAGTACCCAGTTATGCAAATGAGACCTTATATGGGATAGGAATAGCGAATAGAACAAGATCATCGCCAGGCACATTCAGGGAAGATATCATAATGAAGTTGGATCTCAATCTGGATTTTAAAAATAGGTTAACAAAAAAAAATCCATTGGGAGGCTGAGGCAGGCGGATCATGAGGTCAGGAGATCGAGACCATCCTGGCTAACACAGTGAAACTCCGTCTCTACTAAAAAATACAAAAAAGTTAGCTGGGCATGGTGGCGGGTGTCTGTACTCCCAGCTACTTGGGAGGCTGAGGCAGGAGAATGGTGTGAACCTGGGAGCGGAGCTTGCAGTTAGCCGAGATCACGCCACTGCACTCCAGCCTGGGTGACAGAGCGAGACTTGGTCTCAAAAACAAAAACAAAACAAAACAAAATCCAATATTGAGTATAAAGGGTAGTTGCAGAATATATATACAGTATATCATCTATTTAAATTTTTTAAATCATACAGAAAATTACAGAGATGTTTATAGATGCTTGTGGATACTTATTAAAAGAGACTAGAAATACAGCATTTATGATAGTTGTTGCCTCTGGTGAGTTAAGATGGGGAATGGTAATCAGAGGGCACTTCAGCATCATCTGTGATGTTTAATTCTTTAAGAAAAAGGCTAAGGGTGGGAGGGTTAAAGTTTAGGTACTGAGAGGATTAGGAAGGTATGTGCTTAGAGGTAGTAGGAAGTAAAGTGGTGTAAGCAAATTGGAAATTGGTAAGGAGGACCTTAAAAGCTAGGCAGACGGATGTGTCATTTGCTAAGAAACAGGATCTTTTTGTAGTAGGACAATGACAAGGCAAATCTTATAAATTGGACTCGATCCTAGAGACCTTCCAAGTAAGGGATCTCTTGTATGGCATTTTTGCTAGGGCCTTACCTACTGTGTGGTTAAACTAGTCCAATGAAAGGAGCTTCTTATCTCAAAATCTAGCGTATTCTGTCATAATGTCTTTTAAGTTATTAGAGATTTCTTCTCTGAATAGAGTCTCTAATCTGTCTCCCTGAAAATTGTGTCATCTGTTTACCAAATAGTTGAGCAACTGTCATGTACTCTTCCAGGTACTAGGGATACGGCAATGAATGGTACAAGGAAGGTCTCTGGTCCAATGGAATGTGCTTCCCCCGTCCTCAACCCCTCTCCATGACAATAATAAACAAAAAATATCAGATATGTGCTATGTGGATAGTTAAAATAGGATGATGTCGTAGTGACAGGCTGACTAGCTTTATTAGTAGGACAGGGAACGCTTCTCCAGTGAAGTGACATGTGAGTGACACATCTAGGATACATCAAAGATCAGGTGGATGCACATTCTGGACTAGAGAATAGCTAGTGCTAATGCCTTAGGACAGGTACAAAGTTAGTATCTTTGAGGGAGCATAAGAAACCCAGTCTCCCTGGAGCATAGGATGTGAATGGGAGAGGGGGCTAGAGGAGTAAGCAGGGGCTGGACCAGGTAGGATTTTGTAGGCCAGGGTAAGGAATCTGCTCTTTAACTGCTCTGGGAACCAAAGCTATGAGTTGATTCTTCTTTTCAAAAGATTGCTATGTGGAAAATGAATTATAGGAGGAGAAGAGAAGAAGCAGTAAGGTCGGTTAAAAACATTGTAGTAGTTGAAGTGAGAAATGGTGAAGGGTTGGACTAAGGAGGGCAGTAGTGGAAGTGAAGAGTAGGAGAGTGTTGGCATGTGTTTTAGAGGTAGAGTGAACAGCACATGCTGTTGGATTGGATGTGGGTGTGGGAGGACAGATTCTGGGCTAGAGCAGCTGATGGTGCCATTTGATGAGGTGAGAGCCTGGGGAAGGGTAGGGTGAGGACTCAGTTAGCATGAGTTTTGTTTTGGGCATGTTAAATTTGAGATGCCTGTTAGACTTCTAAGTGATGTCATGTAGGAGTTGGATAAATGGGCCTGAAGTTCTAGGGAAAGTCAGGACTGGGATAGAAATGTGGGAGTTATCGGCCAGGCACTGTGGCTCACGCCTGTAATCCCAGCACTTTCAGAGGCTGAGTTGGGTGGATCATCTGAGGTCAGGAGTTTGAGACCAGCCTGGCCAACATGGCGAAACCCCATCTTCTACTAAAAATACAAAAATTAGTCGGGCGTGGTGGCGCGTGCCTGTAATCCCAGCTACTCAGGAGGCTGAGGCAGGAGAATAGCTTGAACCTGGGAGACGGAGGTTGCAGTGAGCCAGGATCGTACCACTGTACTCCAGCCTGGGTGACAGAGTGAGACTCTGTCTCAAAAAAAAAAAAAAAAAAAAAAAAATGTAGGAGTTATCTATATAGAGATGATATTTAGAGCCATGGGGCTAAGTGAAATTGCCTGGGAAGAGAAGGGAGGTTTCTTAGAACCAGGTGAAGGACTTTAACCTTTTGAGACTAAATGGAAGAGGAGTCAGCTGGGAGAATATGGTACAGAAGGAGGTTTGATTCAGATTCTGTCCTTTGGAAATACAGTTCCTTTCTGTCCCAGATTAACATCCTATCAGATATTTAAAGGTAAATATTAATATTGTTTCTCCTTACTTCCACCTTTTCACTCCCACTGCCACCATCATGACTGAAGCTCACTATTGGGGGACTATTGCAGTAGCATCCTGAGTCGCCTCACACCTCTAGCCTGTCCCTGTGCCCTCTCATGCTGATAGTATTGTCCACTAGATCATCATGAAGGACGCATTTGAGAGTGCCATACACAGAAACCCTCGCATTTCCCCATCACCTCTAGGAATTTGTCCAGGCTCTTCACAGATGTGCCTCTGTCCTGTCCTTTAGCTCCAATTTATTTTCATTATCTCTCCAGCCAAGTCTTAACTCTAGTGTTTGTTGTTCCTCAGACATGTCCTGTGGTTTCCTGCCTCTGCTTTTGTTTATGCTGTTCAGATCCTACCCATTGTCCTGTTTCTGTTTCAGATGGCACTTGTGCCATGAAGTCTTGCCTGACCTTTCCAATGGAAAGAGGCCTTTCCTATTCATGTGCTGCTTTTATTCTCTGCTGCCACTTCTCGCAGACTTGTGGGGCAGGAACCATTTCATTCACCTTTATGTCTGCTAGGAGTGAAAGAGTGATTTTTTAAAAAACTGTTTTATTTGTTGCTTTTATTGAATTTTGCTCCTGAACCATATTGGGAAGACTGTAGCCTATTTTCAAGTGCATATGTCTTCATTGTATTTCAAGCTTGATTCCATAGTCATTAAGTGAAGAACATTATGTGACAGATGGTTGAAAACTGGTTGACAATTTATTTGAAAGTATGTTTTATTTAAAAAATCAAACCAAAACCTAAGGCTTTATTAAGATCCAAAACCTAAAGGCTTAAAAAACAAGACTTGACACTGAGAGAGGGCAGATCTAATTTAGTGTTATAGAATCTTTGTTTTGAAATTGTTGTACTTGTGAGCTGGCAACTTGTACTGACTTGAGTTTTTTTCTTCCACTTAGCATGGAAGATGAAAAGGAAGATAGTAAAGTTATACCTACAGAATGTGCCATCAAGGTATTTAAAACAACCCTTAATGAGTTTAAGAATCGTGACAAATATATTAAAGATGATTTCAGGTTTAAAGATCGCTTCAGTAAACTAAATCCACGTAAGATCATCCGCATGTGGGCAGAAAAAGAAATGCACAATCTTGCAAGGTAAAGAAAATATTGTGCTAGATGTAATCTTGGGTAAATATCTTTTTGCGTTAGGATAAAAAAATCCATGCTTTCTTTTAAATTCATTTATAGAAATAATGAAAGGCCAGGTGTACAACCTCGATTCATACTTTTAGGATGAAAAAGCCATTTTCTTTTTTCTTTCCTCAATGAAACTTGAGGGAAATCTGGTCTTTTTCTGCCTTAGACACTTTATCATATATCTAAATGCCATTTTTAAATTGCTTTTATCAAGAAGTAAAACTTCCAGCATCCAATTAGGCTTAGCATAAAAAAATGGTTTCTTTTTTGTTTCAGAAAATGTTTGTTACATTTAATTTGTTAATTTTGTGGGAGTAAGTTCTTACCAATCAAATTACATTTTGTTTAAATTTTTATACTTGTATCTGAATTTTCTAAGCAATTTATTTTCTATCAAGGAATTTGTTTTATCAACCAAGAAATTCAGTAATAATCCTTCTCATTAAAAACCTTTCCATTACCTTAATCTATTAAAAGCTTAATTTTAGTTTGTTATTTTCTAAAGATATTTGCTTTCAAAAGTAATTATTCATATATCTCAGTTACAAAATTCTTCTACTGAGAGTTCCCCACCAAAATAAGCCGGGCATGGTGTGCACGTGCACTTCCAGCTACTTGGGAGGCTGAGATGGGAGGATTGCTTGAACCTAGGAGTTCAAAACCAACCCGGAAGCATTAGACTCCCGAGACCTCGTCTCAAAAAAAAAAAATTGTTTTCAATTAATTAATTCCAGGTAGAATAATTTTCTAGAAGGTCTTGCTGTCCTCCAGTCTCTCTTCTGTACTCCTGAAATTCCTGCCTTTCTTAAAAAACAGTGTTCCATAGTGGAGCTTGCCTGTCTCTGCAGCCTCAGCCCACATTGCCCTTCCTCCTACTCACAGATCTAAGTTGATTGATATACATTCCCCAAACGGACTATGCTCTTGAACACCTCCCTGCATTCCCTTGCACTGTCTTCATCTGGCTAATTCCTGTTCCCTACCTCTTCTTCTAATAAGCCATCCTTGGTGCTGTGTGCTTCTGTAGCTCCTATCCATACCTCTGCCAGTGTGTACGTCACGCTGCATTGTAATTGTCTCTTTACTTGTCTGTCATTTCCATCAGTCCCTGAGCTCCCTACGAGTAGAGGCGGTGTTTTATTGTCTTTGTATTCCCACGTCACCAGGGTAGAACATAGTGCCAGCTCATTGTAGGCCCTTATTAATATTTATTGAATAAATGACATTTTTTTCTCCTTCTGATCTGTATATTCTGAATCATTTGTTTCTGTATAGAATGCAGAGAGCTGGAATTCCTTGTCCAACAGTTGTACTACTGAAGAAACACATTTTAGTTATGTCTTTTATTGGCCATGATCAAGTTCCAGCCCCTAAATTAAAAGAAGTAAAGCTCAATAGTGAAGAAATGAAAGAAGCCTACTATCAAACTCTTCATGTAAGTTGTGCTTTTAAAAGCATTCACACACTGCCTTTAAAACATATTTCCTCTAGACTTTAAAATAATGTCCTTAAAGAAGCCAGGCATGGTGGCTGACACTTGTAATCTAGAACTTTGGGAGGCTGAGGCAGGAGGATCACTTGAGCCCAGGAGTTTGAGACTAGCCTGGGCAACATGGTGAAACCCTGTCTCTACTAAAAATACAAAAAAATTAGCCGGGCATGTGCCTGTAATCCCAGCTACTCGGGAGGCTGAGGCAGGGGAATTGCTTGAACCAGGGAGGTGGAGGTTGCAGTGAACCGAGATTGTGCCACTGCACTCCAGCCTGGGTGACAGAGCAAGACTCTGTCTCAAAAAAAAAAAAAAAAAATTAAAAATTAGCTGGGCATGGTGGCACACACCTGTAGTCTAGCTACTTGGGAGTCTAAGGTGGGAGGATCACTTGTGCCCAGGAACTTAAGGCAGCAGTGAGCTATGATTGTGCCACTGCACTCCAGCCTGGGCAAGAGATAGAGCAAGACCCTATCTCTTAAAAAACAAACAAACAAAAAAACCCAAGTTCCTTAAACAGTGCTATTTGAAGGTGCTATAATAAAGACAAGTTGAAGTTTGTGAAAGAATGTTAACACGGAAGAGTTGTTTTTCTATCAATATGTGTGTGTCTTAAATAGTTTTAGAAAACTTACAGACTTAACCAGGGAAGTCTTCATTGCTAGGATTAGTGATATATTACATGAAGCTGTTTTTCACAAAACTTCATTAAATGAAATTTGCTGTTACTACATTTAGCAGATAAAGTGCCTCATTAGTTTGTGTGCTTTATTGAATGTTATAGTTTTTTGGGGCTTTTTTTTTTCCAAATAAGAGACGGGGTCTCACTATGTTGCCCAGGCTGGTCTTGAACTCCTGGGCTCAAATGATCCTCTTGCCTCAGCATCCCAAAGTGCTGGGATTACTGGTGTGAGCCACCACACCCAGCCATTGAACGTTACAACTTTAACAGTGAAGGAAAGGAAGCAGGTTTGGTCTCATCATAAGAGAGTGATGATGAAAACTGAAAATAGTAGGGAGTGCAGGTGTTAAGTTGGAAGGCACATGTCGGGAATCTCAAGGAAACTACGTGCTTTGAAATAGCAACTGAATTCAGTCTGAGGGCCTTTCTAGGTTGAGAAAATGCTCCTAATACTGCCATTATCCCTCTGTAGTTTTAATTGAACACTGGAGAAACTTAATGTGCTACTTGATGCAATCTCTGCATGAAGCTGTCATGTAGTGCAGCCATTGATCTAAATATGGAAATGTTAGTCCTAATTAATTTTAAAGACACAGCTAGAAAGGTGATCCACCTTTCTCTGCTTCCAAAGGAAAACATTGAAAGGAAAATCAAGTATGTTTTTCTGGCGTCTTTGGGAGGTGAGGTGCCTAGGGAAGAGATTAAATAGTGATGAAACTTTCCTATTTAATTCTATTAAGGCTGGCAAACAAATGCATTAATGTTGATTTCTACTATAAGACTTTAGGGGGGCCGGGCGCGGTGGCTCACGCCCGTAATCCCAGCACTTTGGGAGTCTGAGGCGAGCGGACCACGAGGTCAGGAGATCGAGACCATCCTGGCTAACACAGTGAAACCCCATCTCTACTAAGAAAATACAATAAATTAGCCGGGCGTGGTGGCGGGTGCCTATAGTCCCAGCTACTCAGGAGGCTGAGGCAGGAGAATGGCGTGAACCCAGGACCGGAGTAAGCTGAGATTGCACCACTGCATTCCAACCTGGGCAACAGAGCGAGACTCCATCTCAAAAAAAAAAAAAAAGACTTGGGGGGGGTGTCATCATCAATAATATACTATATAATCCCACTTAATTTATTCATTTCCTAATGTGTACCTTCCCTCTTCACAGTTGATGCGGCAGTTATATCATGAATGTAGGCTTGTCCATGCTGACCTCAGTGAGTATAACATGCTGTGGCATGCTGGAAAGGTGAGGAGAACCTTTTGTTGACATTCAGATTTAATTACTTTAAGTAAAATTTAAAATGTAAATACATCAGTCTGTGTTCTGTATTGAAATAGGTCTGGTTGATCGATGTCAGTCAGTCAGTAGAACCTACCCATCCTCATGGCCTGGAGTTCTTGTTCCGGGACTGCAGGAATGTCTCGCAGGTAGACGTGTAAACCAATATACCTTTTTTGTTGGATGTAACAGCTGTAGGTATTTTTCTCACTCCTAAGTAAGAGGACCATATTCTTAGAAATTGAAGGAAGGGATACTGGCTGCTTTCAGGACAAGGATATAAAGATCAATTTGTCATATTTCATTTTGCAAGAATTTGATTTCATGTTTCATAGTTGGGTAAAATGTTCAAGGGGTGCCAGGTGCGGTGGCTTACGCCTGTAATCCCAGCACTTTGGGAGACCGAGGTGGGTGGATCACTTGATGTCAGAGGTTCAAGACCAGCCTGGCCAACATGGTGAAACCCCGTCTCTACTAAAAATACAAAATTAGCCGGGTGTGGTGGCAGGTGCCTGTAATCCCAGCTACTCAGGAGGCTGAGGCAGGAGACTCACTTGAACCTGGGAGGCAGAGGTTGCAGTGAGCCAAGAACGTGCCACTGTACTCCACCCAGTCTGGGCAACAGAGCGAGGCTCCATCTCAAAAAAAAAAAAATGTTGAAGGGAATGAGTGTTTTGGCTTCTATAAGCAGTTGAGTAGACATTTAATGTGTGCATAGTGCTTAAACAGAAGCTGGCATATGGTGTGCCTGCATGCTTGCTGCCATTATTACCATTAAAAGAGAGACAGTCTCCATTGTGGGACAGTGTCTGATCACTGTCACTGTGAAGCAGGGAAAAAAGATTAGGTGGCTGGGCATGGTGGTTCATGCCTATAATCTCAAAACTTTGGGAAGCCAGGGAGGGAGGATTGCTTGAGCCCAGGAGTTTGAGACCAGCCCGGGCAATATAGTGAGACTCCTATCTCTCCAAAAAAATTTAAAAAGTAGCTGGGTGTGGTGGAACATGTCTGTAGTCTTAGCGGCTTTAACTGGGAGGCTGTTTTACTAGGGAGGCTGAGGCAAGAGGATTGTTTGAGTCCAGAAGTTCAAGATTAGAGTGAGCTGTGGTTGTGCTACTGCACTCCAGCCTGGGTGACAGTGCTAGGCCCTGTCTCTTAAAAAAACAAAACATATATATACATAAGGTAAAATTCAGTAAGCACAGGGTTGGGTCATACTTGTTTGGCGTTTCTAAGGGAAATGAATTGTTGGCAGTAGATTCAGATAGGCATGATCTTTCTAAAGGATAGAATAACTTCATATTGGACATAACCTCTGAGTCTGCTTGAAATTTTTAATTTCTGGGGTTTAGTGAAAGTATTTCCTTTACATATTCAAAGCAATGCCAAGTGGTTTTATATATAGCACTCACTTTTATAGCTATAGGAGGTGCAGTGGGATGAGCTAAATCCAGAAGGCAGAATGGATGTGTGAGAGGATGAAAAGCAACTAGAACCTGAGCATAGTCCAGCTTGGAAGTAGGAAAATCGATGGTTGAGAAATGAGGGAAGGAATGTAGTGGTGTCTTTTTATAAATGTGCTGCTCCCTGTTCTTAGTTTATTAGAGAACCTTGCTAATACTTCTTACTGACTTTCTTGTATTTCCTTTCTAGTTTTTCCAGAAAGGAGGAGTCAAGGAAGCCCTTAGTGAACGAGAACTCTTCAGTGCTGTTTCAGGCTTAAACATCTCAGCAGATAATGAAGCTGATTTTTTAGCTGAGGTATGTGATAAACAGCTGTTTTTCACCTTACTGGTCATACAGAACTGCATAGAGGAGATAACTAAAACCCAGAGCTAGTTTTATCCTCCCTTTCCCCCAAAAACAAAATTAATTTGAGATTTTTCTTTTCTTCAGATGTTTTTGGTTTTTTCTTTTTCATTTCTTTTTTTTTTTTTTTTTTTGAGATGGAGTCTTGGTTTGTCACTCAGGCTGGAATGCAATGGCTTGATCTCAGCTCACTGCAACCTCTGCCTCTTGGGTTCAAGCGATTCTCCTGCCTCAGCCTCCCAAGTAGCTGGGATTACAGGTGTGTGCCACCATGCTTGGCTAATTTTTGTATTTTTGGTAGAGACGGGGTTTCGCCATGTTGGCCAGGCTGGTCTTGAACTCCTGGCCTCAAGTGATCCGCCCTCCTTGGCCTCCCAAAGTGCTGAGATTACAAGTATGAGCCACTGTGCTTGGCCTGTTTTTTTCTATGCTTGAAATTCAGAATACGCACACAGCAAAACATTTCTTCACAGAGGGCACCATTTGGTTAAGATGGGCAAACTGCACATTTTCAGTAGACTCGTATTTCCCCTATTTAATGAATGCAGAAGTTGATGGATACTCTGAGTGATACAAAAAGCAGTAACATGTGGTCCCTGCCCTTTACTAAACTTAGAAAGTTAGAAGTGCCCATCTTTGGAAATACCCCGTTATTATAATATCAGATCTAGAGAACCATGAAAAAGCTTCCTCCAGAGAAAATCTCTTAAAATTGAACAAAATCTAAAAGGTGAAATAACAGTTAATTATTCCCAAGATTATACCAAAGCAGAGAGTGATTACTGAGTGTTCCAGAACTCCCCAGGGTGACTTGAGTTTGGGTAAGCTGTGCCTAGCCTAAGGCTAGAGAGAAATAACAGAAAGAGTAAATTCAGCTTCCAGCACAATACAGTTGCTCAGTAAGTAAGTGATACTGTTGTTTGATGAATGGTAGAATTCTCTTTTTCCTGTTTCTGGAATGTTTTATAGAATACATTTCAAAACATAGATGATTCCAATTGCTAGCTGGATAAAGTTAGTAAATATTGACCCTTGTAATCAAGTTAAAAAAATACATGTATGTATGACTATCTCTGTACACTTGGACACATGCACGCAGGCGTGCACACACACACACACACATAGTAATTTCAACTCAAAGGCAGAATCATTAGGAATAACCTAGTTTTTAAGAGAGTAAAAATTACTGGCTCAGCCAGGCATGGTGGCTCACTCCTGTTATTCCTGTAATCCCAGCACTTTGGGAGGCCAAGGAGGGAGGATCTCTTGAGCCCAGGAGTTTGAGACCAGCCTGAGCAACATAAACTCCATTAAAAAATAAAAAAATTGGCCGGTCACGGTGGCTCACGCCTGTAATCCTAGCACTCTGAGAGGCCAAGGTGGGTGGAACATCTGAGGTCAGGAGTTCAAGACCAGCCTGGACAACATAGTAAAACCCCGTCTTTACTAAAAATACAAAAATTAGCTGGGTGTGGTGGCACATGTGTCCCAGCTACTAGGGAGGCTAAGGCAGGAGAATTGCTTGAACCCAGGAGGCGGAGGTTGCAGTGAGCCAAGATTGCACCACTGCATTCCAGCCTGGGTGACAGAGTGAGATTCCATTTCAAAAAAAGAAAAAAATTACTAGCACAGTCTAAAATATGGTTTCTGTGAAAAGTAGGATTTTGACAAATGGATTCAATGTATTATTTTTGTAGATAGAAGCTTTGGAGAAAATGAATGAAGATCACGTTCAGAAGAATGGAAGGAAAGCTGCTTCCTTTTTGAAAGATGATGGAGACCCACCAGTACTATATGATGAATAGCACTGATACCCACTGCTTCAGTGTTAACACAGCAGTGAGTGTCAGCTGCCAATAGCAAATGAAGTTGTGGGCGACTCGAAATGCCAGAACACGGGGAGTGGGCAATGGTGCTTCTCTGCTTCCCCCCTTGTAACCCATGTGCCAGATGTGTGGAATCTTTAGCTCAGCATTGAGAGAATAAAATGTCACTACCTCTCATCTTATGAACAGGATAATATAATTCTTTAACAGCTATAGGTTATCTGGCTGAAGTAGACCTAATTTTACATGACTTGTAGTGTAAAATGTCTTGATGATAATTTTTAAAACTTAGGCAACATTTCCAAATATGGGAGGAAAGGACAGATGTGTTTACAAGGGAGGGTTTCATTACAACGTATTTGCTTTATTCACCTCCCTGTTTTGTGTTGCATCTTTCCTTGAATATTTTATTGGCCCAGAGTTAGCCTTTCTCAATTATGTTTCCAGATGGTGGCCGTGATTCTAAAGGAAAATGTGTGCTCTTTAATGGGTAGAACAAATGGAAATTTGGTTTCAGAATGGCTGACAGAAATAGACATAAGCCATGTAATTTTTGTTGATATATCATGAAAATGAACAGAATTCTTTTTCCATACTTACATCTAAGAAAAGGCATCATAGGTTTCTGAGAGAGATAAATATATAACAGCTTTTTAACTATCCAGTCAACTTTCAGCTTTTCTACATTTAGGTAAAATGGTTAGGATATAACTCATATAGTGTGGCTAATCTACATTTATCAATAAAATGTAAATTATCTGACAGGACAGAATATAAGATTGAACCATGTTTGACGTATTTTAATTTAGTTAATGAAGCAAAATTCCGTTTACATGTCACTAAAACTGTGTACTTGATTGACTTTCAGAGAAATATCACAAATTAGAAATATTAAATCAAAGGATAAAAGGTATATATAAAACAATTTGGGGGCCAGGTGCCGTTCAAGCAATTCAAACAGGAAAATCGCTTGAACCTGGGAGGCGGAGGTTGCAGTGAGCTGAGATCATGCCACTGCACTCCAGCCTGGGCGACAGAGTGAGACTCTGTCTCCAGGAAAAAAAAAAAACCAAACCCAATTTAGATACCAAATTAATAAACTAATTTGAGCTATCTGGCCTTACTCTTAGTAGTTTTTAGTACGTGCTGGACACCACTTTGAAAAAGCAATCACTGTGCTAGAAAAGTATATTGGCTTTGTTAGGATTGAAGTTCATTAACTTCAATGTAATCATTCCTCCTATTACTGAAGTCAGATTGGAACCACTAAAGATCCAAACCTTCTGTCTGGTAATAGAAAGTAAGAATCTAGACATCATTTACATTTGAGAAAGCTGTTTTTAACATTATTTAAAAATGCCAAATATGTTCTTTCTAGAAAAATATTTATTTTTGTTTTTGTTGGATAGCTTTTAATTGCATTTCAGAGAAGTGTGATTTTGGGTAGATGCTAATTACATTTTTGAAAGATTTACTGTTCCAAAATAAAGATTTAGATGACTGGTGATACTGACTTTACAGAAATTTCAGAGAACTAATTTTTAAAACATTTAAAACTTTTTTTGTTTTGTTTTCTGACATATTCTGACAAAGAGAGCAACCCACTGCTGTGTGGCATTCTTGGAGTGTGCTGTGAATGTGCTTTTTAAGAAATTAAAAAGAGATCCTTTTAAAATTGGTTCTTTGTGTGGTATCTTCCTGTTCCTTATATTAACTTATGTCCTGGTACCAAGTTGCCATTTCTGTATAAAGTAGAAGCGATACTGTTTTAAGTAGATTATTCCCCCTCAACTTCTCTTTGTTAGATTTCAATCTCAAATGGCCTACTTCACATTACAAATAGGTTTTCACCCCCACCCCCCTTGTAGATCAGAGAGTAGATTTTTTCCCATAGTAGAAAAAGAAAGTGAAAAATACTGGTTTGCTAAGTAAATAAAAAATCAAATACAGGCTGGGCATGGTGGCTCACACCTGTAATCCCAATACTTTGGGATGCTGAGGCAGGATGATCACTTGAGCCTAGGAGTTTGAGATCTGCCTGAGCAGCAGAGCAGACCTCATCTCTACAAAACATTAGGTGGGTGGCACGCATCTCTGGTCCCAGCTACTGGGGAAGCTGAGGCAGGAGGATTCTTTGAGCTCAGGAGATCAAGCCTGCAGTGAGCTATGATCACACGACTACACTCCAGCCTGGGTGACAGATAAAGACTTGGTCTCAAAATAAATAAATTAATAAAAAGAAAATATATAAAATATGGAAATAGGGATATTTTATCTCACATTAAGTTATCAAAATAAGGATGACTAGATAACTTTTATTTCAATACAATAATTACCAGTTTTCTTTTCATAAAAATTAGTTTTTCTTGCTTACAAAAGTAAGTCATTTATTTGAATGTAAATATTGTAGGAATTTAGAAATGTTCAAGTAAAAGTCCCTCGGCCAGGCGCAGTGGCTCAGGCCTGTAATCCCAGCACTTTGGGAGGCTGAGGCGGGCAGCTCACCTGAGGTCAGGAGTTTGAGACCAGCCGGCCAACATGGTGAATCCCTGTCTCTACTAAAAATACAAAAATTAGCTGGGCGTGATGGCACATGCCTGTAATCCCAGCTACTTGGGAGGCTGAGGCAGGAGAATCACTTTGAGCCCAGGAGGCAGAGGTTGCAGGGAGCTGAGATGGTGCCGCTGCACTCCAGCCTGGACAACAGAGCGAGACTCTGTCTCAAAAAAAAAAGTAAAAGTCCTTCATATTCCAGAGACCATTGTTTATAGTGTGGCATGCATCCCTGCAACTTTTCCCCTCAGCGTATGGTATTTTCTTTTTTAAAAAACCTTTGAACAAAAAGCAGGATGAAGTGAGGCAGCTGATGGGGAGATGTTGAGCATGGGAGACTCTAAGGAAGATGAAGACAATAGGCCCTAAGATGTGTTAGGAGTACCTTTCTTACTGCTCATTTGGGCTCTGGGCATCAGAAGACATTGTTTTCTGCACCTTTTGAAATTCCAAGAACTATAGGGACAGAGAAAAGCTCATCTGATTGTATTTTCAAACCTTGATCCTTAGGTTTTTGAAGACAATATTTTTCTATTTTTGTCAGGATTACATAAAAATAAGTTATCAAAATGTGTTTTATACTTGGAGACATCAGTTTACTAATTTGAAAGCCTCTTGTTTTTATTCTTTTCCAATTTGTTTCCAGTATAAAAATAATACAAGGTTGCATTTGGAACAGCATTCCTTTTACCATCCTAAGCTTTCTAGCTTTCTCCCAGACTTGGCTAGCTTTTTGAGGAGTTAAGATCAAATTCGGTAGATAAGAAAGTGGCAGATGGAGGAGTGGGGAATGTGGGGTATTCTTTACAGAATACATGAGTATTCATATAGAATATAGATAGCTCTATAAACTTGAGGGAAAAAATGTCTGTGCCACAGGTCTCGGCAGCTTGGGTGGTGGGAGGAGGAGCAGCAGCTGGTGAGCCCAGCTTCCAGAAGGCTCTGGTTTCGCCACTGCCCATAGGCACCCGGCAGGCCCCCTCCCCACCACCAACATGCCCAAGACAAAGGTCAGCTCAGCCAGGGGGGCCGTGAAGGAAAAGCCCAGGAGGAGAGTGGCACAGTTGTCCGCTAACCCTGCTCCTGCAAAAGTAGAAACGAAGCCAAAAAAGAAAAAAAAAAAAGGCAACAGGAAAGGATAAACCTTCAGACCTAAAAGTGCACACAAAAGGGAAAGGGGGAGCAAAGGGAAAACAGGCTGAAGCTTGAGTCCCTGCCCACCTCCATTCCTATCTGGTCTAGAACATTTAACTGGCAATGTTTTTTTGACTCAGTCTCTTGGTCATAGGGGCCCCACTAGGGGACATGACAGACGCAGGGCCTGTAGCACACCACCCTGGCCTCGATATGGGCCAGAATGAAAGCTTGGCCATCAACACTGCCTCTGGGATACGTTGACAAAAAAAAGAGAAAAAAACACAAACAAATAGAAGCCCCCATCAGAATGGATCTCCCTCTTGGCCAAAGGGAATCGAAACAACAACAGCAGCCGCAACAGCCTGAAAACCTAGGTCAGTCAGCCACGCCTCACCACACCCTCCCTCGCTTTGGAATCCAGGCACAACTGTCCAAGCAAAAGGGCTTCATACCTTTGGAAAGGAACACCTTTTGGCTGATTCCGTAAGGAATGCGTTAAGGCTGCTCTTTCTGTTACCTGGTTTTACCACTTTTAGGCCCATTAATGGGGATCTTATTGTTAGTATTTGACACATTAGGCCAAGCACGGTGGCTCATGCCTGTAATCCCAGCACTTTGGGAGGCCAAGGCGGGCAGATCATGAGGTCAAGAGATTGAGACCATCCTGGCCAACGTGGTGAAACCCTGTCTCCACTAAAAATACAAAAATTGACTGGGGGTGGTGGTGCACGCCTGTAGTCCCAGGTACTCAGGAGGCTGAGGCAGGAGAATTGCTTGAGCCTGAGAGGCGGGGGTTGCGGTGAGCTGACATCACGCCACTGAACTCCAGCCTGGTGACACAGCAAGACTCTGTCTCAAAAAATAAATACAATAACAATAATAAAAATATTTGGCCCACACATATTCAACTTCCTTATAAAGTTTATATCTTCTAGGTTATAGCAGCTCCATGTAAAGATGATGGTGATGCAAGGATTCCAGCTAATTCCTGTCTCAGCTTGGGGCTCTCCTGCTAATGCACCCTGGGGACCCTTAGACCAGGCAGCCAGAGATTTCCAATCTTTTGGTAGGCAGGGCCAGCGCCCTGAAATCAGCAAGAAAACACAGAAAACTGACCTCCTCCCTCATCAACCCACACAGAAGACTGACCTCCTCCCTCATCAACCCTTAAGAATAAGGGATGGAAATCTCCGAAGGGGGAATGAGATAGGAAGATCACTGGGTGCTTGCAGGAGGATGGAAGAATCCAAACAAGAGCTAAAACAAGAGCTAGGCAAAGAAACTGGGGGATAACAGAAAACCCTAAATAAGGGGGAGAAGGCTGGGTTTGGTGGCTCACGACTGTGATCCCAGCACTGTGGGAGGCTGAGGAGGGCAGATCACCTGAGGTCAGGAGTTTGAGACCAGCCTCTGCAATATGATGAAACCCCTTCTCTACCAAAAATACACAAAAAAACAGCTGGGCAGGGTGGCATACGCTTGTAGTCCAGCTACTTGGGAGGATCATTTGAACCCAGGAGACAGAGGTTACAGTGAGCCGAGATCACACCACTGCACCCCAGCCTGGGCAACACAGACAGGGTGACATGTCCATGACTCTTCAGGGCAAACCCAAATCAGGGAGAAAGGGGGTGGTACCTGGGGGTACAGGACAGAGGGGGGTCCCTGAAATACCCCCTCTTCCAGAATACCTAATGATTATTTCACTCCCTAATTAAAGAAACACCCATACAATTAGAAACCCAAACTCCCTGTGTGACACTTATTCTAACAAGCATGCCTGCACTTCTCTCTTCAGTGCATACTGCCACTTTGCAATAAAAGCTTTTTGCCTTTCCCTGCATTCTGACTTGACCCTGAATTCTTTCTCGAAAAGGTGTCAAGAACCTGGAAACCAACTGGGGCGGGGGTCTCACTGGCATCTGGAGACCCTCCGGAATCTTCTGGCAACAGTAGGGGAAAAAAAGCAGAAATTACCCACAGTACAAGGCAATCACCATATACATTACTCCTGACACTTGTTATATGCATATGTACATGCAAATATAGAGAGAAACATGCATTCAGGTCTGACACAGTGGCTCACGCCTGTAATCCCAGCACTTTGGGAGGCCAAGGTGTGTGGATCGCCTGAGGTCAATAGTTCAAGCCCAGCCTGGCCAACATGGCGAAACCCCGTCTCTACTAAAAATACAAAAATTAGCCGGGCGTGGTGGCAGGCTCCTGTAATCCCAGCTACTCGGGAGGTTGAGGCAGGAGAATCACTTGAACCCGGGGACCGGATGTTGCAGTGAGCCGAGATCACGCCACTGCACTCCAGCCTGGGCCACAGAGTGAAATTCCGTCAAAAAAAAAAAAAGAAGAAGAAAGAAAAAGAGAGAGAGAGAGAAAGAAAAGAAGGAAGGAAGGAAAAGAAAGAAGGAAGAAAAAGAAAGAGAAAAAGAAAGAAGAAAGGAAAGAAAGAAAGAAAGGAAAGAAAGAAAAAGAAAGAAAGAAAGAAAGAAAGAAAGAAAGAAAGAAGAAAGAAAGAAAGAAGGAAAGAAAGAAAGAAAGAGAAAGAAAGAAGAGAAAGAAGAAAAGGAAGAAAAGGGAGGGAGGGAGGAAGGGAGGAAGGAAGGAAGGAAGGAAGGAAGGAAGGAAGGAAGGAAGGAAGGAAGGAAGGAAAGGAAGGAAGGAAGGAAGGAAGGAAGGAAGGAAGGAAGGAAGGAAGATAAAATACTTCTGAAATGAAAAAGCAGGTTCCAAACCAGTGATACATAGTCAAGATTTGCCAGTAAATACATACTTTAGAAATAGCTCCTCTTCGTAAATATTATTCATCCTCATTTTTAAACAAAAAGGACTTTAGAAAGTTTAAAGACAAAGACTTTGTTAAAGACAAAGTAAAAGTCACCTGAAAACATGCCAAGCAGTGAGAACCACTATACAAATTTTACTACATATGCCTTCAGACATCTGTCATAGAGTCTAGCAAAGACTATAAAACAA